TCGTCGCCGCCTCGCGCCGACGTCCTCGCCCGCCGGCCGGCACTCCGGGGCCCTTTTTTGGTGGCGCACGCCGGGCGCCCGTGCGGCAGGGGGGCACGGGGAGGGGGCGCGTGGGAGCTGCGGCGGGGCAGGCTTCGATGGGCCGAGCTGTTCTCGAAGGCGCGGGCGTCCCTCTGTTTTTTTTGTTGTTCTTTCTTTCTTTCTCTCTCTCTCTCTCTCCCTATATATATATATATCTATATGTATAGACTGTTGCCCCTCGCTGTTCTCGCTGTCTCTCGTTCTCTCTCTCTCTCTCCATTCCTCTCCTTCCTCTCTCTCTTTTCTCTTCTGTACGTGTTTCGCGCGCGCTCTCCCTCTCTCTCGCTATTTATCTTGATTTGTGTATTTCGTTATTTCTTTATTATATATATATTGTTCTCTCTCTCTCTCTCTCTCTTGATTTACATATCTATACACCTGTACGACCACACTTCGGCTGTTAAGGAGGATGTGTGGGGGGGAGTTTGATGATGTTCTGGCCTACTTTAGCCTGGACCACCAGCAATAATTCCGAGCACCATGAACGTACCGAGACTTGAGATCTTTCTCGTGTGGGGCCCTGGGAGGCGATTGTCGCTTGACATTTCGCCACTATGTCGGGCAGACACTCTATCGATCTCACCATCGATCTCCTTCTATATTTCGATCTCACTAGTTATCGATCTCACTAGTCATCGATCTCGCAGCCGTCGACCTCACTATCGATCTCACTTTCGATTTGTCTATCCATCTGACGCATGACCTCACTATCGATCTCACTATGGATCACACTATCGATCTCACAGGACCTCACGGGAAACCATGGGACACCGCGCCACGGGAAACCACAGGACACCACGGGACGCCCGCGGGACACCCCCGAGCCATCGCCGGCCAACCGCGGGGCGTAGAGTCATTGAGCTCAGTTTCGCCCTAGCCACGGCGGGTTCGTTCCTCTCGCCCGCCCACACAGCTTCGCCTCGCCCGCATGCACGACACGAACACGAACACGAGACCGAAACCGATTTTCCGTCCTGGGGCTCTCTGCTTCACTTCCAGCTCGCCCCCGACCTCCGATGTATGTTTCATGTTATTTTGTGGGTGTTCTCGCTCTCGCTCTCTCCCTCATTCTCCCTGTCTTCTTGCTCTCTTTGGACGAGCAAGAGGCTCACTTCCCACCAAACCACCCCAACCCAACCCAACCCGAAGGCTCAGATTTACCATCGATTTCCAGTGGGGGGGGGGAATCGGGAAACACCGAAAAACACATGTGGAACCCTTACCCCCCCAACCCGAAATTCGGGTCTTCGGGTTGGGTTGGGGTGGTCTGGTAGGTAGTCTAAAACAGGGCTAGGATCGGGATAAATCGCTCCAGAGCGTTCCGGAGCGCTCTCAGAGCGTTCCGGAACGCTCTGGAGCGGCCGCGGCGCCCAATACATCCTCCAAACCCGCCGATTCTCAGAGATTTTCGAGTTATCCCGATCCGATGTTGTCCCGATCTTCGCGTCGGGTTAGGTTGGTTTGGGGTGGTCTGGTAGGTGTCAGAGGCGGCACAAGGCACGCACCCGCGGGGTCGGATTTTTCCATTTGGTCGGCCTGGGCCTCCCTGGCAGCGCCCTCTGACCTCTGGTGCCGCCCAGCGCGTGCTGCGCGCTGGGGAAAGGTTGCGGTGGTGGGGTCACAGCGCGCCCAAGGCATGTTAAAATGATGCGAAGATCGGGAAAATCGATTCGGGATAACTCGAAATCTCTGATAATCGGGGGGTTTGGAGGTGTATTGGCGCCGCGCCGCTCCAGAGCGTTCCGGAACGCTCTGAGAGCGCTCTGGAACGCTCTGGAGCGATTTATCCCGATCCTAGCCCTGTTTTAGTCCAGCGCCGACCCAAGGCATGTGCGCGGACCTCCAACACTTGATGTATTTGCAGCTGGTTCCCCTTCGATTAGGTTAGATTTGCTCTGTGTGAGTGTGCTTGTGTATGCCTTGTGACTGCCGTTGCTATCGGTGTGTGTGTGTGTGTGTGCATTTTTTTTTTTTTTTTTTTTTTTTTGTTTCTCTCTCTCTCTCTCTCTCTTTCTCTCCTCTTCTTTGCCCACCGAAGAGAAGCCAGGCGAGCCCAGGAGAGGAGCACACTAGGAGGGGTCTGTCTTCCTGTTGTCGCACAATGCTGCCTTCCTGGCCAGAGCCCCGAGATGCCCGGGTTGCCCTGATGCGAGCCGGCGGCTGGACCTCGCAGAGAATTCTGTTTGTTTAATTGGTCGGCTTCCTTGCCTTTGAGAAGTGAGCGTGCATGCAAAAACGAGGAGACTCACTTCCCTCTCCCTTGTCACACTTGGAGGGGGTCAAACTGTATCGCAACGTACCTGGGTGCGTGGCTGAAGTGGGTCCGCAGTGAGGAATATTATTGTTGGTATTGTTGTTGTTGTTGGTGGTGTTGGTGTTGGTGTTGGTGTTGGTGTTGGTGTTTTTGTTGTTGTTGTTGTTGTTGTTGTTGTTGTTGTTGTTGTTGCTGTTGCTGTTGCTGTTGCTGTTGCTGCTGCTGTTGTTGTTGGTTTTTTTGCTGTTGCTGTCGCTGTCGCTGTTGCTGTTTTTGTTTTTGTTGTTGTTGTTGTTGTTCTTGTTGTTGTTGTTGTTGGTGGTGGTGTTGGTGTCGGTGTTTGTACTGTTGTTGTTGTTGTTGGTGCTGTTGCGGTTGCTGTTTCCGTTGCTGCTGTTGTTGTTGGTGTTGTTGCTGTTGCTGTCGCTGTTGTTGTTGTTGTTGTTGTTGGTGGTGCTGTTGTTGTTATTACTGCTGCTGCTGCTGCTGCTGCTGCTGC